AAAAGGCGGTGGCTGACACAGGCTATCAAAGGGGGAAGGGGGGAAAAGGGGGAGGGGTTGGGAAGAAAAAAAAGGGAACAAAAGGAAAGAAGGAGAAAAAAACAGAGGGGAAAGGGGGGGAAAAAACAAAACATTTGGTATCTGTCACTGGCTGACACAGCCTACTATCAACTTCACATCAACTGTAACCTATCAAGAGCCTTCCCACAGAGCGCGTGGCTGATAATCACTTGCGATATTGCAACTTTATCCCTCTTGCAGAACGAGCGGCTAATAATAAGCCTTGCGAATCGCAACTCCATCCCCGCACTTGGCACGCTAGAAAAGAACTGAAAAAAAAAAAAAAAAAAAAAAAAAAGAACTGGATGACAGTGCCAACTGGGAGTTAAAAAAAAAAAAAAAAAAAAAAAAAAAAAAAAAAAAAAAGAACTGGATGACAGTGCCAACTGGGAGTTCAAAAAAAAAAAAAAAGAAAAAGAAAAGAAAAGAAGGCATATACAAATTAGGTAGGAAGTTAGGAACACCATCACTAGCAGTGCCAACTGGGAGTGCAAAAAAAAAAAAAAGAGGGGGCAGGAACTGGATGGTGGTAGTAGTGGGAGGTGAAATTGAGAGAAAAACGTTAGCTTCAAAAACAGAATAACATGTAAAAGCCGAGGGGATTGTGGATGACAGTTACATGGACTTTTTGTTTTTTTTTTAACCCCCAAAAGTAAAACGCACATTTAGGAAACCCTGATTCAGACCCCCCAAAGTATCCTCACATTTAGGAAACCCTGACTGGGTAATCGAACTGTCAGTGGATTTCACAGACCAAGAGTTATTTGCCTGCTTGGCTGACTTCCTGTCCATTCATTGCATTTTTTTCCCACCATCCACCACACTCCATGCTTCCCTCCCACCCTCCTTGCTGAAGCTAAGAATATAAAGTTGGCTTTTTTTGTTTTTTGTTTTTTATTTTTTTATTTTTTATTTTTTTTTAATTTTTTTTTTAGCTGGTGGCCCCTGCTAGGAAGGGCGGTAGGCTTAGTTGAACAGTAACCTGAAGTTCCTACCTTCTTCCTTTGTAGGTGGGCCCCCTACCCTTTCCTCCCTCATGTGTTTTTTTTTTTCTTGGCCCTTGCAACATAGGAGATGAAACAGCAAAACCCCAGTTCAGGCCACGATTCACTGTGTGAGTGTGTGTATGTGATGTCATGTCAGCCATACAGAACTCCACAGAAAAAGACATCCATCATTGTGTCAAACTGTTTCATTGGACTTGCACCGAGCACATGTGTTGTGTGTGCATGTGTGCATCTCTCTCTCTCTCTCTCTCTCTCTCTCTCTCTCTCTCTCTCTCTCTCTCTCTCTCTCTCTCTCTCTCCTGGAATAAGGTAGAGAAGATGTACAAGTTGCCTGAAGTACAGGGTGGTTTCACCTGTTTCTGTGGACAGAAAAGGCCCTAGAGAGGGGTGCAATACACATCGGAATCATATATCTGACCGATTCTGACAGATTAATTTGTGGCTTTGAGCATCTCAGAACATAAAGGACAGACCAGCACTGTATCGCACGTGCTGGTGGGTGCAGCTCCCGTATGTTCCCTCGTTGGAGGCTTGAGCACAGATATGGCTGCTACCGGGTTCCCCGTAATACTATAATGACAATAAAAAAGGCCTGAAAGACCGTTCTGTCCAGATTTGACAGGTAGTTGAATTGGTTGGGCTTACAAGAATTAGCCTTAATAAAAAAGAAAACGAAAAAAAAAGAAAAGGAATTCCCTCACCCTTACGGACCGGAAGATTTTGTTTTTCAAAAAGAGGAGACACATAAAACGGAATCATAGGCACCCCCTTTTAGACCCCTTTAAAAAGCAATTATACTCCCCTTCCACCGCCTTGCCAGCCAATACTCAAAAAACAATTTGGGCTCCACTGGAGATGTGCAGAACCCCCCACTCCACCACCAAATAACAATAAAAAAGGTCGTTGACCCCTACTTCTTCCCACCCCGGGCGTCAGATCCACTGGGCGACTTGAATGCCCAGCCCGGCCTGCACGGCCGAGCAGCCCAAGTTACCTAGTCAGAAAAAAAAAAAAAAAAAAAAAAAAAAAAAAAAAAAAAAAAAAAAAA